CTGGTTCCTTGAGACTTCCTCACCCCCACTACCATGACCCCGGTGCTGCTTCTCAATTCCGACTAGACGGGAACACATACACAGGTATAGACAAAGAGATGGGAGCTCATGACACACAGAATCCAGGGAACAGGAGTGGGAATGGTGATACCAGAAGGGTAGGGGAAGAGGAAGGGAGAAAGGGGGAACCAATCGCAATGATCGACACATAATCATACACCCCTCTACAGGTGGAAGAACAGAAAACACGGGGGAGACAGCAATCAATGTGAGAGATGAAAATAACAATGTACAATCTAAGGGGGTGAGGGAGGGAGAGGGAAAACAAAAAAAGAGGAGCCTGATACAAAAGGCTCAATAGAAAAACGTCTAGAAAAGAATGAAGGCAACATATGTACAAACATGCCTGAATCAATTGATGTATGGATTGTGATAAGAATTGTACAAGCCCCCAATAAAATGATGGGAAAAAAATCATTTTATTGGGGAGCTCCTATAGCTCTTATCACAATCCATACATCCATCGTGTCAAACACATTTTCTTCCTACTTGAGTCCTAGGTATCAGCTCATTTCCTGCCCACCCCCATGAATCCTTGATAATTTTTTTTGTTTTTAATCATTTTATTAGGGGCTCATAAAACTCTTATCACAATCCATACATACATCAATTATGTAAAGCGCATTTGTACATTCATTGCCCTCATTATTCTCAAAACATTTCCTCTTCACTTAAGCCCCTGGCATTAGGTCCTCATTTTTCCCCTCCCTCCCTGCCCCCCCTCTCCCTCATGAGCCCTTGATAATTTATAAATTGGTATTTTGTCATATCTTGCCCTGTCTGACGTCTCCCTTCACTCACTTTTCTGTTGTCCGTCCCCCAGGAAGGAGGTCACATATAGTTCCTTGTAATCGGTTCCCGAACCCTTGATAATTTATACATTTCTTTTTCATGTCTTACACCAACCACTGTCTCCCTTCATCCATCTTTCTGTTGTCTGTCTCCCTGGGAGGGGGGTATATATAGATCATTGTGATCAATTCCACCTTTCTGCCCCCACCTATTTCCTTTTACTTTGTCCCACTATCATGTTCAGCCTTCATTTGGATTTCAGTATTTCCTCTGGCTACATTGCTCTTGTTCAAGCCTCACCAGGCATCCTACCCTTTCCTCACCATCAATTTTAGATCACTTTTTGTTCCCTTGTACCCGGGTTTGTTGACACTCTCCTTCCTTTCCCCTGTCTCCCCCTCTCCCCTAGAACCATCCGTTCATTATTTTCTCCTCTGGATTGTTTATCCTATCTTATGTAGAGAGACATGCAGAGACAAATAATAAGCACAAAAAACAAGACAGCAAAACAACAAAAGAAAACAAAAAAGCAACAACAACGAAAAAAACAAGTGACAAAAAAAAAAAGCTTATACAGTTTGTTGACCTTTAGGGGTGTTTTCTGGTGGAGTCTGATAGGGTGTCACGCCCTGGTCCCAGTCTATTTTTGGTATTCCCCAGGGAATTCATTGCTTTGCTCCCCTAGCTGCTCTGCTGCACGCCCTTAGTGTTTTGCCCCGGTGTGGTGGTCAGATTGGGTGTAATTCTCACATTGTGTCTCCAGTGTTGTTCCCATAGCAGTGAGGGATGTCATGTCTCGTAGTGGGGCTGGCCCTATGGTCCTCTGTGCACTGGCTGCTCTGAGCAGGAAGATTGTCCTCAGGGCTTGGTGGTCCAGGATGTGCTCCACTCTCCTTCCCTATTTGTTTGCTCCCGTGTGCTCTGATCAGACATGCCCCTCTCCCTGAGCTGTAGCTTCAGTGCTGTCCTCTTAAGTGCATTCTTCTTGGGGGAAGGGGGAAGCAGGGGTGGGCTAGCTACTTAAATTCTTAAGTATTTCTTTTTTTTCTTAATTATTTCTTAAAACCACCCCTTCTTCTCCACTCACATCATAGCTCTACTTTGGGTCTCATAACAGAGTGGTTTAGACTTAACCACAGCCTCACTTTCCTTAAAGCAATTTATCACGTGGCTATCAAATAATGGCACTTTGGTCATGCCATTAAATAGTTTAGAAGAATTCAACAGAGGGACAAATACTATGTTTCTCTCTATGTGGTATACAGTGAACCCTCGCCACTTCGCGCTTCGACTTCCGCGGCTTCACTCTATCGCGGTTTTTGCGTAACAGCGCATGCTCTGTCATTACTGCCACTGATTGGCTCATACTGTACACGCTTCTGTCTGCATAGCTACATATCGGAGCTATGTATCAGATGCATTTTTGCTTTTGTACAGTGTACTGTAATTGTTTGCGATTTTAAAGAAATTTCATCTAAGCCCTACGATGGCTCCTAAACGAGCTGCTTCTTCTAAGCCTTCTGACAATAAAAATAAGTGCCAGAGGAAGATGCTCACCATCCAGGAAAAGGTAAAACTTTTGGATATGATCAAAGATGGCAAGAAAATCGTGGAGGTTGCACGCCATTTCGACTTGAATGAGTCTTCCGTTCGCTCCATCCGTTGTACTTCATAATATAATAAATTATAAATGATAATTGTAACATCCAAAATGTTTTACTGCATTTTCCCTTTTTCGTTTAATAAATTGGGTAATGCGAGTGTAATGGTGACTAAAGGGTGTTTTTTCATGTCCTCTATGCTCTAACTACGAAAATATTTGATTTACAAATAAAGAATCCTACTTCGTGGAATTTCATTTATCACGGTAGGGTCTAGAACCGATTAACTGCGATAAACGAGGGTTCACTGTAATTAGACTACGTATGAAAAATACTCTTGTCAAAAAAGTTGAACATGAACCTTATCAAGCTTTTAGACCTAAATTCAAACTAATGGGAGATAGAGGGGACAGAAGAACAAGTTAAATAACACCAAGGAGCCAACACCAGAAATAAGAGACTACAGGTCAATTGTCCTTGTTTTTCCCACAGTTATTGGCATAATTAAAAAAAAAGTATGTTGGCAAGACAAAAGTGTGTTGTGGAAGGGACTATTCTAGAAGAAATGAACCTGAGGAGTCCATAACAACTTAGTGGAAATAACCAGTGGGTTTTGCTTAGGTCGCGACCTGAACACACTGCAGTACATACTGAAAGCCGTTTTGAGGCCGACAATTGGGGAAATTTGAAGGAGGACTGAATATGAGGTGTTACCAAAGACAAGCTGTCAGTTTTGTTAACAATAATGGCAAGTTCTATGCAAGAACATGACCACCATCACCACCACCACACGTACACAGAACTATTTAGGGATGACACGACATGCTGGCAGGGATTACACTGGCTTTAAAATACATGAGCAATTTAAAAGCAAGCTAAAAAATAGGATCATGGAGGTAAATGTTTAGAAAATAATGATGGCAACATATGCACAAATATGCTTGATACAATTGATGGATTGTTAGAAGAGGCACCAATAAAATGATGTTTAAAAAAAAGTATCATGGAAGTACGGCAGAATGTTGATAATTGTTGATATTAGGCTGCATTTCACGATGCAGCAACAACAAACTGCTTATAATTTCTTAAGTTTACCCTGTCCTTTCTTATTTTAATACTCAGCAAGGGGTAGGAGACTCCTTGGGTCACCGATCCACTGAGTAAAGGCTTGGTTGTGGGGAGCAAGGCAAGCTGAAGCCCATGGAAGACTGCTCTCTGCAGAAAATCACTCCTGTGGGAAGCTTCAAGATAGGTGCTTCCATTAGACTTCTAAGATGCAGAGGTGCCAATTCCCAACACATGGCCCTTTGTCTCTGTGTTTGGCCCACATAGGAAAAGTGGTCTTGGAGAAGAATGGTGCATTATCTTGAATGTAATCAGGTGGTGAAGCCAATTGCAGCTGCTGCTCCAGATGTCATTTTTTACCAGAGCAGATAAACATAGCCCCAGGCAACTGCTTTGTGCCTATTGATCTGGAAAAATGCTTTTATTCTTTGTCTAATAAGCAGAGAATACTAGAAGCAGTTTGCAAAAGCCTCAATCATCTGGCATGCAGCAGGACAACACAGTAGTCGCATGAAGAAAGCAGGTTCATGCAAGAGAGTGGGAGATAAACCCCTGAAGACGCAGGGATGTGTTTTTTAAGTGAAGTTTTGGGGGCTAAGGGCGTGTATCAGGACATCTCCAGCAAACTCAAGTACATATCGCTGCATCCTGTACCCCGACCACTAAGAAGCAGGCCAACACCTAGTAAGCATTTTTGGATTTTGGACACTAGTGTCTACATTTGGTGCCTGCCTTAGAGTTAGGTAAGACCAGGTAACTAAGTGTAGCCCATGGGATACAAGCAGAAGTAATAGCTTTAACTTCTGTGTCATTTACAACTAAAGAACTGCTGCCTGCCTTGGTAGCTTGTCTCTCTTTTTCTCCTTTCCTAGGAGCTGTAGCCTAAAAGTGGCCTGAAGAATCATTATCATGTGGATGAAGACACTTCTTGGGGAACAATGAGGCAAACAAGAAGGAACCTGGGTCCCGGGTGGCAGATCTGACCCCACAAGCCTGACAAGGCTGGGCTACTTTATGGTTGACAAACAGACTTCCATAGTACTAAATGCACTACATCTTGGGGTTTTCTTAACTTTTATTTTAACTCAAACATATTGACTCCATCCCTCACCCCACCCCTCCAATCCTATTCTGGAAGCTGGACAGCTCAGGTTATTTTAGTATCTTATCCTAAGCTAATTAAAATGTGGTTCTTACTTATTTAGACACTAAGGGGAAGGGGACCAACACTTACTGAATTCCTCCATGCGAGGCATTTTACAGACATTATATTTGACGTTCCACATAGCTCCATGAGGACTACGTTCAATAAAGAAACAGGACTAGGTCACCTGCCCAAGATCACTCTAGATGGGATAACTTGAGAGTTTCTTTCTGACAATACATACTCGCTGTTCCCCACCCCCACCCCCACCCCCATAAAGAAAGGGCTGACACGGGCTGAGGGACCTGAAAGAAGCTCCCATTTTAGGTGTCACTCACATAGAGGTCCGGTACTTGATGTCATCTTTCTCAGCCAGCTCTTCACAGGTGAGGCCATTGTGTTCTTTCCAGAGTCCTTGACACTTCCTGCAGGTTTCCTGGGGACAAAAGACAGATCCTGGTGAGTGAACACCAAGGTGGTTTCTGTTCAACAAAAGGGGACAGAAAATGAGCTCCCTTTGGCTTGCATTCAGTTGGACATCCTCCCCCTCCCTTATAGCAGGGAGGTAGGTTTTGAAGGACAGTGCTCAAGAAAAAAGGGGTGGGGGCTGGGGGAACATGACAGGGAAGCACAGGGGTCAGGGTGGAGGGTGTTCCCTGCCCTGATGAAAGGAAAGTGTTTTGCACCCATCTCCCAATTCATACAAGGTTTTCTAAAATGCCAGGGTTACCGAAAATTCCACAGGAGACAAACTTAAGTGGCCTTAGTCTTTAACAAGTAGCATTCTGTGAGTTGCTTGAAATGAGAGTCTGGATCTTATATGGACCTCTGGTTTCTCCACCTGGTATTGGGCCTGATGGAAGGCAGACACTTTTGTTGATGTAGCCTGCAGAAGGGTCTACACTGGGATCACGGGCCCTAAGGGGCAGCATTCCCTCAGTCACCTGCTACTCACACAGGTATGGCACTCTCCATAGGTCAGTTTAATTGTGAACACAGTTGAAAAAAATCACCACCTTTATTTTAAGATACTGCATAAGTTCTAAAACATTTTCATTTATAAAATAAGTGTGCTACAAACATCTCACTTCAGAACCAAACATTTACAGAGGGCCTACTGCATGCCAGGTACAAACCAGGCATTAGGACACAGTGGGGAACAAAACCCCTTTCTTTCCTGGCCTCATGGAGCTCCAGCCTAGCAAAATGAAAATGCCAGTAAGGGCAATGATGCATGAAAAGGTCTAGTCTGAGGAGAAGGGATGATTTGGGAGCTGAAAGACAAGTCATTGAGAGCTGGGAGGGGCTGGGGATGGTGTAGTCATTAATCTGACCTTCAACCTAAGAGTGATGGGTTTAAATTATGGAAGTGACAAGATCAGCTTTGTAATTTGAAAATTTAAAGTTCTCTGTGGAAAATAGCCAAGTGGGAGGAAAGAGCATGTTGAAGGCGGTTAGAGACTATCACAGACCTCTGCGAGGGACCAGGGGCTTGGACCTGGGAGATGAGTGAGCATGTCAAGTTGACTAGCTTGAGAGACATTTAGGAGGTAAAACTGACAGCTTAGAGGTGGGTCAGCTATGGAGTGAGTGGGAGGGAAGTATCCAGGACGAATACCAGGTTCTTGCTTTGTGCTACCCAATAAAAGGGTGACATCGAGGGGGGTGGGAGCAATGGGAAAGGAGGGCAGGTGTTCAGATTATGACTTGGTTTGGTGGTGTCCACTCAGAGGTGGGGCAGCTGCCAGGCAGGGAGTCAGGTACAAACAAATGTCTAGCATTCTGGATGGGTGGGACTAGAAAATCATGCCCAGAGATATCCTTCTCATCACTGCAATCTCACACTTGAGATGATGTAAGACAACAAGCTTAAGCGCAGAAAGACTGTTCTACAGCGGTTCCAAAGCCTAGGACAACCTTTAAGAATCTGCTCTTGAAATTTCCCTAATACACACTGCTAAGAGGACTGAGACTCAGCAGAGAACAGTGTGTGATCCACATATAACATATATCTGAAAAGACACCAAACTGGTAATTCTGATTGACCCTGGGTAATTACAAGGCAAACATGATAGACTTTTCACTGTATGCATTTTCACTATACATATGCGCTATTCAATTAACAAGTAAAATTTTAAAATGAAAATGAAACCACCATTTGGTGGGATAGATGCTGCAAAAGAGTTTTGTCACTGGGTGGAGTAGAGGTGAGCCGAGTCTGGAAATGGATGTTCTCGGTGGACTCTGCCAAGCCTGCAATAAGCAGAGACACCGACTAGTCAGCAGTGTTCTCACCCCCCCAAAACATGGCGCCGATGAAAACCTGAAAACCAATGTTTAAATTATCTCATGCCCTATTATTCTGGGAAAAGTGGAGCACAAACAACAGCTGGCGAGTAGATGTGTCCCACCCATGTGGGGGGAGGTCAGATGCTTGCAGGCATTTCCCCCCCTGAGGGCGATCAGTTGCCAGACTGCAGAGGGCCCTGCTCCCTGCAGTTAAAGACAATGGACAGAGTTGCAGTCATCTATTTGGTTTCTGTAGGTGGGGTTTACACCCTACTGATAATGGTTCCTATGGAGATCCAGAGAACAGGTCAAAGTTAAGCTGCCATCCTGATTCCAAGATCTGCTCATCTGGTCACATACATACCCCTAATCCCTCCTCTTCCTATTGAGTCTATGTCCCTAGACCATCCCCTCTCATTGCTGTATAACCTATATAGTGCAACCCCTTTCTGTGACGTATGTCAATTAGTGGGCTTGTACGCCCTCAAAAAGTATATAGGCCTGGGTTAGCAAGAGATCCCTCTGTCCTCTCTCGCCCCCTCACTCTCCTCTCCCTTGTTTCGTTTCCAGTCCTCCTTCCCTTCCCCCTCTCTCCACGTGGACCACCAAGCGGGGCTGAGGTGAGCAATGCTACCATGTAATGTCTTACTGCATTATTGTAATATCTCTTCTATTGCTCATGCTCTCGATGACTTTAATACTTCTACATCTCAACCATACAATTGTGCATACTGAACCCATGATTCGCAGTGGAGGGCTGCCCCCCCAACATTATACTACACACCGGCCCAACAATACCTTAGCCGCCCTCAGGAAGAGGAGCTGGAAACAAAGCGTGGCATTTATCTAGTGCTCTGCAGCATTCACAGCAAATCCATATTATTAATTCATGGAACCTTCTCCACAAAATGAGCCCTGCAGCCAGAGAAGGTAAGGAACTGGGCTGCTAACTAACTGCAGGATTGGTGGTTCAAAGCCACTAGCTGCTCTGCAGGAGACATACAAGGCTGTGTGCTCCAGTGAAGCCTTAGTCTTGGAAGCCTTGAGGAGCAGCTCTCTCTGGCCTGAAGGATCGCCAGAAGCAGCGGTGGTGGGTGTCTGGTTCTTCACAAAGAAAGCCGTTTACAGGGTGAGGCCTGGCCAGGCTGGCATCAGGCTGCGCAGGGCTATTAGGAAGCCTCTGCTAGTGTCAAGGTGGCTTTTCAGCTATGATTATCCTTAAGGAAGGGCCCAGGGGCCTCAGAGGAAACCTGAATGTCTCTACGACAGACTAGACTATGCAGCTAGACCCTAAAACTGACAATTGAAAAAGGCAAGCACATCCAGCTGAGCAGTCACACTGGAGTTCCCGGGTCCTATCTTGGAGATGCGCCCCCTCTTTTAAACAACTCTCCTCTGAAGAACAGGTAGGCGCTATTCTAACCCAACATATGGCAAAATGATATTTAGGGAGAAGAAATGCTCTTAGTGTTGACTCAACATGAAGACAATTGCCATTTTCCAGGTGAGGTTCTGAGGAAGTCAGCAGGACCAGCTTGATGGAAAGCGCAGGGCACAGCCTGTATCTCCTGCCACCCCCTGTGCACATATCCGGTCAGAAGGAAGCAGCTGGATTCATCATCATCCAATGTCTATAGCACCTTCCTTTTGGAGCAGGAAGGAGCTGCATAGCGTGGGCCCACCTGGAGCGCTCCATCAGCATTCCCTGGGGCACATGGAGACTTCTGGTGAAGCTTTAGGGTGTCCTCAAAGGGCATCAGGGTGTGAGGACCCACTCAGGGCTTTCTTTTGCCTTGGAAAGGAAATACCCAGCTTGCCAGTCTCCTGTCTTACCCCTTTCTGATGCCAACATGTTATGTTTCATGGGGAAAGCAGAGGTTAAATTCAGTTTGTTCATATAGTTTCCTCAAAAAGCTAATAGGGCCTGACCAGTCTAGTTGTTCACACTGCTGCGGCTCAGCCTTTCCAGTCTTGTCTCAGAAGCAGAACACAGCGAATGGATTTTTGAGCAGGTTCTCCATTTGAAACTCTAAACTCACTCTCAAAGGGTAAGAAGGTACTGGCTTCAACACAAGGCACAAGGCTATCAATTAGAACCTCCAAGACGCCAGCTTTCTGCTTGGACAACTCAAGACCCAGCCAACAGGGAGGCTGTAAACCCCAGCCCTTCTACAGGGATAGGGGGCACACCTCTCTTGTCGGATGGTATAGCCAACAGAGATCCTAAATAGGAACATTCAAGGATGCCTCTCAACCAAGCACCTTTCCCACCTGGAGCTCCAGCTGTTGTGTGGTACTTTCTCACCTATGACAGCCAGCCACATCGCAACTAAACCCAGTCAATACATCAACACTGTAAAGAACACAGTACGCTCTACTATTGTCAACATCCATTATTTGAAAGTATATTACAGCTCACTCATTTGCATGTTTTAGATTTCTGTGTGTTTTATAACTTATGTTGGAGTGTAGTACTGCATCTATGGGGTGTGTGTGTGTGTGTGTGTGTAAGTGAAGGTTTCTGTTCTACACAATCTTCCTGACAAGGCAAGCCACCAGAAGGCTACAGGAATCGACTATGAAGGAAAGCAATAACAAGGCAGCAGGCAGGGAAGGAAATGAGATGTTTCTTGGGTAGAAATAGCTGGAAGGGGTGAGAGGGGCCTGGAGTGGTTTCTAGGTTTCTGGCAATGGTTGGTGGAAACACCAGCTCAGAAGTGAATTAGGAGGAGGGTAGGAGGCGGAGGGGAGAATGAGTATGTGTTAATTTTAGATGAGATGGGGTGTGTTCAGGTTGGTATGGCCATAGATTATGTGTTAATTATAAACTGGCTGATTTGTGGACTTGCTCACTCATTTGTTGTCCCATTACTACTGAGGTTCTATTGTCTGTCAAGCACTATATGAGATGCTGGGGATGCAGCGATAAATACGTGACAGTCACTGCCTTCTTGGAGCCGGTATTCAATGCTGAACACAGACATTAACCTAATATAGTTGTTGCCATGAAGGCGCATTTTTTTTTTGTTTGAAGGGGCATTTTATAGGAAGAGCACAGTGTGGTAATGTGTGTTCCCAGGAGATGGAAAGCAGACAGAGGACCAGGACCTGTGAGGATCTGATTGTGAGACTGGGCCCTAGTGCTTC